TACTAAGTATAGAAATTCTACAATACCCTATTTAGCGCGTACTTTATGTGACGAAGACTCTGTTAGACGTGAAACTTACAAGTTACTATGTAATTAGCACAGTGAATCGACCCTTTTATCGTTCATCTTTCTGTATTTTATGGTGTCACACTTTCTATCGTTTAAATCGTTACTCTGCTATTTTATTTTAGTTGGTATTACTATTATTACTACAATTTTGTACTTTATACATATTTTTCTCCGTATGGCACACAGTATTTTGCTACGTAGCTGCTATAACAATCGTTTTATTACTATTATGTAATGTGTATTTTTAATTTTTTTTGTCGTTTTTGAGTAAATTAGATGCAATATTGTACTGAATGCTGAAAATTCCTTGCTGTATCATTAGTACTGTTTTTGGAATAAAGCTATTATTATTATTATTAGTGGGGTTGAGTAATGATTTGGCCGCGAACCGGACTCTGAACCACATGGGGAGTGGTTGGAGACCATTTTATCTCTGAACTACTGACGCGATTGCCATACGAAGCTACACCGATCTCTACTGATGTTTACACAACATCGAGATATTGTCTCTCCGTCATTATTGCACTCGACCAAGTATTTACTCAGTGATTCAATGCCTATGTGTGCACACTTAACACGTATCCTTCATAGACAGATAAAGTTGCTATAAAAATTGACAAGGCCACGTGAATGGTTCGACAGACATGACTCACCGTCAGATGACGAATCCGATTTCCTGGTTAAATCACATATTCTATTGAGTTCACCAGATTCTCTCAGAATTCCTTCAACATCCAGATCACTCATCGCTTGAACGAAATCATCTGAGAGCCAAACCGACTTAGATATCATTTGCACTTGGAGAGAGAGAAAAAAACATTGGAGATATAGATATCTCATCGTTTGGCATGATTAAAATATTTGGCGAAAATATTTTGAACTCTTTGTGTTCCACTTTCTAATCTTACTCACCTTAATCTCTACTAGTTTTCTTTTTTGTATTACACAGGGAAGAGACGAACATGTACTGATTCACCTTCTTCTGTGTTGACCACTTTGTGCTACTTATTTCGTTTAAATTAAAGAAGGATCATAATTATGCATTGATGAATAGTTTTGAATGCGAATCAGAAGAATGAGTGCTCGACTGTCAACAGCCGATAGTTCTGTGAGAAATAGACGGGATAATTCTTAGAGTGCACTGTGGGATTCAACCTATGTGAAACCATGAAAATTGAGGCGAAAACATGTTCCAGAGGATTACCGATGCTGCGCTGTCTCTCTAGAAGATTCAAAGCTCCTATTACGCACCAATTTCTGGTTATGGGAATCGTAAGATTGTCTGTGAATATCCTTAAACATAAGTATTCATGGAATTTTCAATCCTCAACATTCTCCTAGCATATTCAGTACATCGCATCCATGCTAACATATTTGCATGCAAATCTGTCATGTATTATAGAGGCATACAATTAGTTCACCATAGCTGATGCAAATGAAATCTGTAAGAACGTAGAGATTATGACAACACTAACACAACAATGTTCAGTGGGTTTCTCAGTCAACCGAAATGCATTAATAGCAACAACAACATCACATGAAGATAGAAAGTGATAGCCTTATTTCAGACTAGTAGCCGTAAACATTCGAGTCAATGTGTCGATCGGATTTGTGTAAACAAAATGCGTGGATGATTTAGTAGTCCCACATACTTCGACGGTTGTGAGCACTTCATCAAGGACACCGGTGGGGGGGAAGCTAGATGCAACAGAAAAAGATAGCGAATTCCTTAGTCAAGCAACATTGATGCAGTAATGAATGCATGTATGCTAAGAGGATAGTGTTTTGAGGAATGTCTGACAGACCCCGTTAACACTGTAAAACCTCAAACAATTGCAAACTTTGATTACGTGAAAAAAATATTGAAGAACAGCGTTGGTGATCGCTTTCATGTCAATGACGTCTATCGAATATGTTCGACCGGGAATAATTTCAATCTTCCCGTGTAATAAAGTCATCTCAAAAATTTAAGTAAGCTGTATTTCACGAATCGGATGAAGCATAGCCGGCTGCCAAGATTCATAAATTTTATTTTTGCGTAAAAACTTGAAAGTTCTTGTTAGGTGTGATTACAAGTTTGAACGTCATCGCTTGAACAGTGGATGACCAATGGCAATGGAATTCTGTACAGCTTGTTTCCTAATATTTGTAAGGACACTGCACACCATTAATTTAGTATTATTATTGTTGTCTTGCGTTCCGAGTGGTATGTAGGTCGTCAACAACACATCTCTACTTTGTTCTGTTTTCTGCTGTCATATTTAGCTGAGTCCACGATTGCTCATAATCTATCACCACCTCCTCGCACGATGTCTTAGCGAATTACAGGTGGTGGTCGATTAAAGAGTTGGACACGTTTTCTCGAACTTCAACTCCAGAGAGTGAGTTCCAATGTTCTTCCACGCAGGTTTCCTCAGTGATACCACGTAGTATCTCCAGCTTTGCCCTGATATCTGCAATCAAGGTGTCTTTTGTAATTTCGTCCTTCGGTTTCGGAGAGTTGAACTTGAATTACAGTGTTCTATCTCCAGTTATTTTGAAAGATTTCTGCCTGACCTAGGAGGTTTTTTGAACTGGATGATGGTCTAGGCCCACATCCGCTCCTCTTTTCGACTTCGTATCTAGCAGGCTGCATCTGTACTTCATTGAGCAGCATTGAGACTAAATCTGTATGGTTTGTTGGGTGTCCGTCAGGTGAAATCCATGTTGTTCGGTGTATATCCTTTTGTTTGTGCACGCTGCTTCAAATCATCAAATCATTGAAGAAGCAGAAGTCTGAATAGATTTCTACACTGTCGTTTATTCTGCCGAGAGCCTCTTGACCCATGACGAATTCACCTCCTGCGTTGTTCGTCTCCACTTTGCTTTGCATTCAGATCGTCCATATGGATTCTGATGTCTTCTTTTGGGATGTTGTCCATTACTGTTTGCAGTTGTGAATATAAATCTTTGATCTTCTCTTGTTTCGGGTTGTTTGTAGCATCGTGCATAGCATTGGATGATTGTAGCTTTCCTTACTTTGAGTTGAATCTTGCTGTCACAATCCTGCAGGAAGAGATTGATTTCCACTTCATAAGATCTTTGACTGCTATTGGTGACATCACGATAGCTACTCAGAGATTTAGTGTACTTTCTACTGTCGTCTGGGCGAGCGGAGTGTACTGCTGACTCTTCGGCAGTTGACAACTTTGACATTCCACATCCACTTAATCTGCTACGGCAGATTCCGCTCGCTTTTTTACCATTATTCCTAATTTATCCAGCTACCTTGGCAGCCTTCCAGCTTCATGCATTCAACAAACATTCCACATTACGATTTCTAATCTTGCTTTCATCAAAAAAGACATATCGGCTGAATAGCTTCGTGAAGGCTTTTACCAGTCCACTGTGGCATTTCGCCTCTGTGATTCCAGTGAAGTATGTGTTCTGTATTTTCGTATTTTTAATAAATTTCTTGTGTGTTGAAGTTTCTGTAGCGGTCTGATTGATTTTCAGGGGTGTGGTCGCCATTCTCATCCCTTTCCCTCTTCTCCCGGCCTGCGGGCCAGCTAGAAAACTAGCGAGCTAGTAAACTAGGCGAGGTATATTGCACAGTATCATGGTTGGTTACTTTTGATAAGTTATAACATTGATCGAAAAATAGTACAAAAAACAATCTCATTATTATCTGCGAACAACCACGACAAATGTAACCATGTGGTACTGATCAATTAAAATGAGTAGTTGTATGCCACTAATATCAACCAGTAGTGCTTCGCAGCTAGATCCGATTGACCTAAACACTGAAAGATCACTTTGTTCGTTCGGATCCCAGATAATCAGCGGTGTTCAAATATTTTTCAATTATACTCTATTTTTCGTCAAAGACAATGATCCAGTTTATTCTGTCATTCAATAAGCATTACCAATGTAATACAACACCTAGGCATCACGTTGTAAGGTGAAGTCGTGTAAAAAGTGGTGGCGATGAAGACATGCGTTATGTATACACATTAAAATGTATTCAAAATGCATCATCAATCAATTGTACTTACTTGGATATTCTGTTGTCATTTGTGTTGGAAAAGACATTCTGAGCATGCGATCCAGGTCAGTTTCCTTGTCGAAAAAGTCGAGAATCTTCTCACTGGTCAATTTCTCCGACCTAGGCATCGTGAACAAGGAGGTTTGTATCTCCACCTCATATTTTCCTGTGAAGAGATTAAAATTTGTTTACAATGAATTCTTATTTTTTTCCTTTACGTTCCCCAGTGGAACATAGGGTTTCAAGATAGTGGCTTGAAATTTTTATAGCAGCGTTTATTTTACAGGATGGGATTGCTAGCCCAATGTCCAACCTTTCCTCTTTACCAGCATTCTTTCTGACGTAGCGAGGTAAAAGAGTTTGTCAGCCGGGATTCGAACCCTGGGCCAAGTGTATGATTGGTGAGTTCTGCGTTATTTGATTTAACTGTGGCACGAATATCTCCTGATTAAGTAGATACGTAGGTGTGTTTAACATAACTGTGTCATCTGTTAGACTTGATAAGTTAGGCACGGTTAAGCGCGTTCAGTGATTCTCGCTTAACCAGCTGATTATTGACTGGATCATTGATATATGGAGTCAGCATCTTATCGATATATGATGAAATGTTTCTCTTCGCAACTGCCATATCGCAAAGCCTGACAATGAAATTCGACTAGCGTTAGTGGTAGGGTGATGGAATCAATTACTTCTGTCTGACAAACCTGTACATATCTAAATTATTCTGAGGTAGGTTTCCATGGTGGATGAGGTACTGAATACACATATTCTGGGCAATGATTCATTTGTTTGATTTTCCTCCGTATTCGCTCGTTCTATTTCACTAATCGTGGATTGTACTGATGTACTCATCGTTTATAACAAGAATAATCATTATATTTCTGGCAAATATTCAACATACGTGTTTCTATGAACACTCGGTTAGTGAAATTATAGGAGGGCGATCAGTTCTTTGAGGCATACTGTTGACATGAACTGAATTCCTTCCGAATGTTTTCATATACTGAGTGGCTTATAGAATGACATGTAGAAAATATATGTACTTCTTATATATGATTTGACCTACCTGACGAGCTGCCATTGTCTGGCTTCATGAGATCGGCGAATAAATCCTTGTTCTTCAACTGGCTGCTAACGAAGTCGAGCATTTCCTTGTCCGACACCTTTTTGTTGCCCAACTTGACTACCCATGTAGTTTCCACAATCTCGTCATCATCTACACGACAGATAAAGTGATAAGTGGTAAAGTGATAAGACACGACACTTAAGTTATCCTTGTGTTAGTGTTATTTTACTTGTGTCAGGGAAACTTCAGCTAGAGCTTCCACTGAAATCGCAGTTCGACATTGATTCTATTGAAATCGTCACTTCAGTAGGTCGTAATTTGAGCTTCACACTTCATGAAACTTTTATCTTGACTGGTTTGTTGAGATTATAGTCCTGAACCGAGACACGAAATTGACATAAGAGTTTTCAAATATACACCACAACCACAGTATATTATGCATTTGAATCTTAGTTATAGTACTTGTTATTTTTGTGCAACCACAAAAGGCCATCAATCAGTAGTATGTTTCTTTATATTCATTTCAGGAGAGCATGACACTTCTGCTGATTTAAGTGTTTGGAAACCATTCTCAGGAACCACTTTGAAAGCAACAATAAAGTTAAATGTGAAACACGAAAATATGATCAACATGCTTACAATAGTCGTCTTTTGAATCATCTGGTTTCTTTTGACTGTACAGAACAGTCTTCTTCATAAGTGGATTAAGGTCATTGTCTGAGGTTTCCCCAGATTCCCCTCGTTTCAATACACGCCTTTTCGGTATGGATGATTGCGGCCTATCATTATCCATGCTATTATCATCATCATCACCATCATCGTCATCATCATTGGTCTGGTCACCCGTTTCGCTAGGTTTAGCTGTAAATCAAGGTGAAAAAATGTTTGAATAAGATTAGGAGACAAATGAGATCATGAAAAGAAAATATCCCAATCAAGTTTAAATTCTGATGGAGATAATACTATAAAAGATTTGGGAAAACTATGAGGAAAAAGATCATGACAGTGGCACAGTCGCCAATTTCCTCGAAATTAACGGATATTGCTTCAAAGCTGTTCGATCGGATTACATCAGAACAAAGTCAGGACGAACACATTCAAATATGAATGTGACAAAGGGAATCAAGGAAGGAAGGAGTGTGAAGATTGACCAAATAGTTTAATATTCCATGAAATAAGAGGTTTAAAAGTGGAGAAAGAGCATAAAGAGCAGTTAAAACTAACGAAGTAAAAAAGATATATTAGAGAAAAAAGCGTGAGAAATCAAAACAGAAAATATGCAATATAAGTAAATATGTTAGAAAAAGCGAACAAGCATTAGAACAAAAGTCAAAAGAAATCAAGAGCCGAAACAAAGGTGAACGAGAGAAAAAGAAGAAAAACGACACAATCGAAAAACTACAGAAGAAGAACGAGACGATGCTCGAAGAAAACAGCCGAATGAAACACACCGATTTGTGCGCGTCCGCCGATTCGCCTCCTTGGTCGTCGTTGTTTACCGATAACCTTTCCCTTCTTGTCTGTCACGTCGACTACTTCTTCTTCTTCTTGTGACGGTGTCGTCGCTCCACCTGCAAGAGAGAAGGAGGAGTAGGAGGAGAAGACAGTGTCAGTCTCTCTGACAACCGATAAGTCGGTCACTCAGACAGTCAGTCAGTCATTCACTCAGTCACTCAGACTGTCAGACAGTCAGACAGGAAGCCAGTGTCTACGCTGATTCACTCACCGACAATACACCAACCAAATAATGTCGGAATGCACCATGCGCCAGCTGACTCAAACAATCCGAAAACTACCCACCCATTATCTCGTGATACTCGTGTCTATCCAATTCACTTCACTCCCATCCCACTCGATACGCTCACACATACACCTCGCCACACTCATTTCACCAACCCCATTCACCATCGAGTAGGGCTTCTCTTCGATCATCTCACCCTCACCAATCAATCGCAACAAAAACACTCAGCACACCCATCACTCGAACACACATGCACAGTCACAAACACCCACTCAGACATTCACTCACTCACTCACTCACTCACTGAGTCTTTCACAGATCCAATACAGTTCAGCTACGCACACGCACACGCACACACACACACACAATCACACACAAACAATCACACACGCAATATATCACTGAGACACACACCACAATTCATCGCCAACACCACAGATATATGTGGCCAAGACCATCTTCAGCACAGCCACCATCACCACCAGCAACACCAACATCAGCCACACCACCTACTGCAATACCAACATAAACACCATCACCATCACCATCATCCTCATCATCTTGATCAAACTGATGACACTGTTCAATTCTCACTCATACACACAAACACGCCTGAAGATTCATGCAGTCATCATGTCGTGGTGGCCAAACACAGCGACATGAGGCGAATACTGGGGACGGACAGTGTGAGGTGCGGTCAGCAAATACTGGCTGTGTGGGTGGAATGAGGCGAATGACGCTTACCGATTTGTGCGCGTCCGCCGATTCGCCTCCTTGGTCGTCGTTGTTTACCGATAACCTTTCCCTTCTTGTCTGTCACGTCGACTACTTCTTCTTCTTCTTGTGACGGTGTCGTCGCTCCACCTGCAAGAGAGAAGGAGGAGTAGGAGGAGAAGACAGTGTCAGTCTCTCTGACAACCGATAAGTCGGTCACTCAGACAGTCAGTCAGTCATTCACTCAGTCACTCAGACTGTCAGACAGTCAGACAGGAAGCCAGTGTCTACGCTGATTCACTCACCGACAATACACCAACCAAATAATGTCGGAATGCACCATGCGCCAGCTGACTCAAACAATCCGAAAACTACCCACCCATTATCTCGTGATACTCGTGTCTATCCAATTCACTTCACTCCCATCCCACTCGATACGCTCACACATACACCTCGCCACACTCATTTCACCAACCCCATTCACCATCGAGTAGGGCTTCTCTTCGATCATCTCACCCTCACCAATCAATCGCAACAAAAACACTCAGCACACCCATCACTCGAACACACATGCACAGTCACAAACACCCACTCAGACATTCACTCACTCACTCACTCACTCACTCACTGAGTCTTTCACAGATCCAATACAGTTCAGCTACGCACACGCACACACACACACACACACACACAATCACACACAAACAATCACACACGCAATATATCACTGAGACACACACCATAATTCATCGCCAACACCACAGATATATGTGGCCAAGACCATCTTCAGCACAGCCACCATCACCACCAGCAACACCAACATCAGCCACACCACCTACTGCAATACCAACATAAACACCATCACCATCACCATCATCCTCATCATCTTGATCAAACTGATGACACTGTTCAATTCTCACTCATACACACAAACACGCCTGAAGATTCATGCAGTCATCATGTCGTGGTGGCCAAACACAGCGACATGAGGCGAATACTGGGGACGGACAGTGTGAGGTGCGGTCAGCAAATACTGGCTGTGTGGGTGGAATGAGGCGAATGACACTTACCGATTTGTGCGCGTCCGCCGATTCGCCTCCTTGGTCGTCGTTGTTTACCGATAACCTTTCCCTTCTTGTCTGTCACGTCGACTACTTCTTCTTCTTCTTGTGACGGTGTCGTCGCTCCACCTGCAAGAGAGAAGGAGGAGTAGGAGGAGAAGACAGTGTCAGTCTCTCTGACAACCGATAAGTCGGTCACTCAGACAGTCAGTCAGTCATTCACTCAGTCACTCAGACTGTCAGACAGTCAGACAGGAAGCCAGTGTCTACGCTGATTCACTCACCGACAATACACCAACCAAATAATGTCGGAATGCACCATGCGCCAGCTGACTCAAACAATCCGAAAACTACCCACCCATTATCTCGTGATACTCGTGTCTATCCAATTCACTTCACTCCCATCCCACTCGATACGCTCACACATACACCTCGCCACACTCATTTCACCAACCCCATTCACCATCGAGTAGGGCTTCTCTTCGATCATCTCACCCTCACCAATCAATCGCAACAAAAACACTCAGCACACCCATCACTCGAACACACATGCACAGTCACAAACACCCACTCAGACATTCACTCACTCACTCACTCACTCACTCACTGAGTCTTTCACAGATCCAATACAGTTCAGCTACGCACACGCACACACACACACACACACACAATCACACACAAACAATCACACACGCAATATATCACTGAGACACACACCATAATTCATCGCCAACACCACAGATATATGTGGCCAAGACCATCTTCAGCACAGCCACCATCACCACCAGCAACACCAACATCAGCCACACCACCTACTGCAATACCAACATAAACACCATCACCATCACCATCATCCTCATCATCTTGATCAAACTGATGACACTGTTCAATTCTCACTCATACACACAAACACGCCTGAAGATTCATGCAGTCATCATGTCGTGGTGGCCAAACACAGCGACATGAGGCGAATACTGGGGACGGACAGTGTGAGGTGCGGTCAGCAAATACTGGCTGTGTGGGTGGAATGAGGCGAATGACACTTACCGATTTGTGCGCGTCCGCCGATTCGCCTCCTTGGTCGTCGTTGTTTACCGATAACCTTTCCCTTCTTGTCTGTCACGTCGACTACTTCTTCTTCTTCTTGTGACGGTGTCGTCGCTCCACCTGCAAGAGAGAAGGAGGAGTAGGAGGAGAAGACAGTGTCAGTCTCTCTGACAACCGATAAGTCGGTCACTCAGACAGTCAGTCAGTCATTCACTCAGTCACTCAGACTGTCAGACAGTCAGACAGGAAGCCAGTGTCTACGCTGATTCACTCACCGACAATACACCAATCAAATAATGTCGGAATGCACCATGCGCCAGCTGACTCAAACAATCCGAAAACTACCCACCCATTATCTCGTGATACTCGTGTCTATCCAATTCACTTCACTCCCATCCCACTCGATACGCTCACACATACACCTCGCCACACTCATTTCACCAACCCCATTCACCATCGAGTAGGGCTTCTCTTCGATCATCTCACCCTCACCAATCAATCGCAACAAAAACACTCAGCACACCCATCAATCGGACATACATGCACAGTCACAAACACCCACTCAGACATTCACTCACTCACTCACTCACTCACTCACTGAGTCTTTCACAGATCCAATACAGTTCAGCTACGCACACGCACACGCACACACACACACACACAATCACACACAAACAATCACACACGCAATATATCACTGAGACACACATCACAATTCATCGCCAACACCACAGATATATGTGGCCAAGACCATCTTCAGCACAGCCACCATCACCACCAGCAACACCAACATCAGCCACACCACCTACTGCAATACCAACATAAACACCATCACCATCACCATCATCCTCATCATCTTGATCAAACTGATGACACTGTTCAATTCTCACTCATACACACAAACACGCCTGAAGATTCATGCAGTCATCATGTCGTGGTGGCCAAACACAGCGACATGAGGCGAATACTGGGGACGGACAGTGTGAGGTGCGGTCAGCAAATACTGGCTGTGTGGGTGGAATGAGGCGAATGACGCTTACCGATTTGTGCGCGTCCACCGATTCGCCTCCTTGGTCGTCGTTGTTTACCGATAACCTTTCCCTTCTTGTCTGTCACGTCGACTACTTCTTCTTCTTCTTGTGACGGTGTCGTCGCTCCACCTGCAAGAGAGAAGGAGGAGTAGGAGGAGAAGACAGTGTCAGTCTCTCTGACAACCGATAAGTCGGTCAC